ACATTTAATTGATGTCTAATGATACATAACAAGAATGTCAATTTTATAATGATTTCTTAATTTGAAAAATATACTATATTTTTCATACATCTATTTTGCTCCAAAAGTAGCAATATTTAAAAAAAAAAGGATTAAGAAATATCCTTAGTTGGTTTATTGTCTCTTGAAGACTAAAACAAAATATTGAGATTTTTTTTGTATGCAAGAAACCATTTTAACTAACATTATTCATTCCCTAAAGTGAATGTTCTAATGTATTAATTTTTATCTTCTCATATTCAATAATGCAAGAAAATAATGTTATATGATACTACAAATATAATTGAAGGCTCCGGAAGAGCTAATATATTGTTACCAAGAGGAATGAAGTTGCATATTAAAAATGCATTATATTTTTCTAAGTCTTACAGAAACTTATTAAGTTTCAAGGATATTCATTTAAATGGGTTTCATATTGAAACAAACAATGAAGGCAATGTAAAATATCTTTATATTACGAAAATCTACTTGAATAAAAAGGAAGTATTAGAAAAATTACCTACTTTCTCCTATGGACTGTATTGCACGTATGTTAATACAATTGAAACACATACTACTATAAACCAGAAGTTTACAAATCAAAATAAATTTGAAGTTTGGTAATGATCGATTGGGTCACCCTGAGAGTATCATGATGCGAAAAATAATTGAAAATTCATGCAGACATTTATTGAATAGCTGGGAGATTCTTCAATCAAATATTTTCTCATGTACTGCTTGTTCCCAAAGGAAGTTAATAATTAGACCATCACCAGCAAAAATTGGGAATGAATCTATCTTATTTTTAGAATGGATACAAGGTGATATTTGTGGACCAATACACCCCCCATGTGGACCATTTAAATATTTTATGGTTTTAATTGATGCATCAACAAGATGGTCACATGTTTGTTTATTATCAACTCGCAACCACACATTTGCGAGATTATTAGCTCAACTAATTAGATTAAGAGCTCATTTTCCTGACTATCCAATTAAGAAAATTCGTTTGGATAATATTGGTGAATTCACATCTCATGCTTTTAATAAGTACTGTATGTGCATTGGAATTGATATTGAACATTCAGTAGCACATGTTCATACACAAAATGGACTTACAGAATCATTTATCAAACGTTTAAAGTTGGCCTCATGTTGTGCTTGCGGAGTTCGCCGAAAATTTCGGCTAGGTCCGTGATGTGCTTGGTGAGAGAATTGGACTTGACCACCATATCATCCACGTAGATCTCGATGTTTCGGCTGATTTGCCCCTGGAATACTTTGTCCATTAACCTCTGATAGGTTGCCCCGGCGTTCTTCAATCCAAAAGGCATAACTCGGTAACAGAAGTTGGCGTTCTCAGTGATGAATGTCGTCTTCTCCTCGTCGGAAGGGTGCATCCTTATCTGATTGTAGCCGGAATAGGCGTCGAGGAAGCTGAAGATAGAGTGCCCGGACGCTCCGTCGACAAGTCGGTCGATGCAAGGGAGTGGATAAGCGTCCTTGGGGCATGCTTTATTGAGGTCGGTGTAGTCGGTACACATTCTCCATTTTCCATTCGACTTTTTTACCAAAACCACGTTAGCTAGCCAAGTCGTGTACCTGACTTCCCTTATGAACTTAGCCTCTAACAACTTCTTCACCTCGGCGTCCGCAGCTTTTCGCTTCTCCTCCCCCATCTTTCTTTTCTTTTGCGCGACGGGTCAATCGGGATAAGGCGACTAGTCTCCCAGAGAGGCGTTGCAATTCCTTGAGATTGCTTGGGCTTCTCATGTTCAGCACGACCTGACATTTGTCTCGGTTCGCTTCTATGCCTCTTGCTGATAGCATAAAGCCTAAGAATTTGCCTCCCTTGACCCCAAAAGTACACTTCTCGGGGTTTAGCCTCATGTTGTGCTTGCGGAGTTCGCCGAAGATTTCGGCTAGGTCCGTGATGTGCTCGGTGAGAGAATTGGACTTGACCACCATATCATCCACGTAGATCTCGATGTTTCGACCGATTTGTCCCTGGAATACTTTTTCCATTAACCTCTGATAGGTCGCCCCGGCGTTCTTCAATCCAAAAGGCATGACTCGGTAACAGAAGTTGGCGTTTTCAGTGATGAATGCCGTATTCTCCTCGTCGGAAGGGTGCATCCTTATCTGATTGTAGCCGGAATAGGCGTCGAGGAAGCTGAAGATAGAGTGCCCGGACGCTCCGTCGACAAGTCGGTCGATGCAAGGGAGTGGATAGGCGTCTTTGGGGCATGCTTTATTGAGGTCGGTGTAGTCGGTACACATTCTCCATTTTCCATTTGACTTTTTTTTACCAAAACTACGTTAGCTAGCCAAGTCGTGTACCTGACTTCCCTTATGAACTTAGCCTCTAACAACTTCTTCACCTCGGCGTTCGCATCTTTTCGCTTCTCCTCCCCCATCTTTCTTTTCTTTTGCGCGACGGGTCGCGCGTCTCGGCAAACGGCTAACCGGTGGCATAAGAACTTGGGGTCTATCCCTGGCATATCTGATGCCTTCCTTGCGAATAGGTCTCGGTTATCCCTCACAACGCACTTGACTCGTCTTGAGTCGGCTTCGCTCAACTGAGATCCCATATTTGTGCTTTGTTCGGGTGTTTTGCCTAGTTGAAAAGGTCTGAGGTCCTCGGTTGGCTCGATTCGTTCTTCTTCGCCTAACCGAGGATCGAGTTCGATGTCTTCCGTCCATAAAGCCTAAGAATTTGCCTCCCTTGACCCCAAAAGTACACTTCTCGGGGTTTAGCCTCATGTTGTGCTTGCGGAGTTCGCCGAAGATTTCGGCTAGGTCCGTGATGTTCTCGGTGAGAGAATTGGACTTGACCACCATATCATCCACGTAGATCTCGATGTTTCGGCCGATTTGCCCCTGGAACACTTTGTCCATTAACCTCTGATAGGTTGCCCCGACGTTCTTCAATCCAAAAGGCATGACTCGGTAACAGAAGGTGGTTAGAGGTACAATGGATATGGGGTTATTATATTAAAATGTTCTCAAACCATAACTAAATGGTTATGCAGACGCAGATTATTTTTCAGATCCTCATAATGGTAAATAACAAACAAAATATTTGTTTACAAGTGGTGGTAGAGCCATTTCATGGCGATCTGTAAAACAAACCATATCAGCCACTTCATCTAATCATGCTGAAATTTTAGCATTACATGAGGCAAGTCATGAATATGTTTGGCTAGGATTTGTGATTCAACACATATGGGAAACTTGTGGTTTATCTTCTAGAAAAATGACATCGACAGTTATATATGAAGATAATGCTACATGTATTGCACAATTGAAAGATGGATACATAAAGGGAGATAGAACAAAGCATATTCTACCTAAATTCCTTTTTACTCATGATCTTCAAAGGAATGGTGATATAAATGTTCAACAAGTCCGCTCAAGTGACAACCTAGCATATCTCTTTACAAAGTCACTTCCAAGAAAAGTTTTTGAACAATTGATACACAAGATTGGACTCCATCATCTTAAAGATTGTATGCATGAGGGGGAGAAATAAATATTTATGAATGATGTACTCTTTTTCCTTCACTAGATTTTTATCCTATAGGGTTTTTCCTAGTAAGGTTTTAACGAGACACATTCTAAATATTGGACATCCAAGGAGAAGTGTTATGAATAATAATTAGTGGCTTAATTAGTGGATGCCAATATTCATTATCAATCATTACCATTTATATTTCCGTTATGTATTATTCCCTTTATTGTGTAATTGTTCAGTTACCACATGTACTTATAAATAAGTTAGTCCTCTCTCAAAGATAATACACCAGTTAGATTCTTTTCTCCATCTTATACTGTCTTGTTTCTTCTCTCTACTTTTTCTTCCTTTTATAAGTCTTGTTTCTTTTCACTACTTTTTCTTTCTTTTATAACAACAACTATATAGTGCTAATTTAAAAGGATTTTCATTATCTCCTAATAAGTTAACACCCACATATGCTTATCTATGTCCGTATCATATAATTTAGTAGTTTAATAAATTCACTTAATTTAATCACATAAAATACAAAGCATTGATGATAACTCACAGTAAATATTGGAATTTGAAGTAAGATTGGAAATGAATTGAATTGAAGGGAGTTTGGTTTAATCCATCTCAATAATATTGAACTCAATTTACGGCTTAACTCAAATTTGACATAAATATTTTTCTAATTCAAACTCAATTTGATTCAAATTTGAGAACAACTTAATTCAACTAGTTTAATCAAAACACATGAGTCTAGAGTCAATATTTTTTTTTTGAATTTGATGCATTTCATAATTTTGATTTATTAATAAATTTGAAATAAATCGTTTACATTTTTAAAAAAGGACAAACTAGAATTTATCCTACTAGCTTTACTAAGTTATAATATATGATAATAAAAAAAATCAAAATTACAATCAAAATTTATATAAATAAAAATCATCTCATTTAAAAAAAAAATCTAATTCATAATTATAAATTTTAAAATGTTCATTTCTTATATTATTATTTAACTTATAATAATAAGATTTTTTTGCTTCAAATTCTAATAAGTTGAAATTATATAAAATGCCAATTATATATTTATATGTATTTATAAATTAAACGATTTAAATTATACTCAATTCGCGTTCATTTATTTATCTATGGAGTTGAACGAGTTCATTTTTTTTTGAAAGTTGAATTCATTTAGATCATGAACTCATTTCAATGAGCTAAATATTAATCAAATTTCAAAGTATCTTTCAATTAGTTTCTTCATTATCATTCTTAGTTTCTTACTTTGAATGACTAAGACAAGCATGAAACTAATAACATCAATTTTAAATTTGAAGGAAATAAATAAATTTATCCTGATTTGAGCGAGTAAAAACACGTTTAAGAGATTCTTACGTACACTCCACGCAATAAAATTAATACTACTATGGTTAAAACAATTTATTTATTTTTTTCTGAGTCCATTTTTGTGCCTGCGTTACACGTAGAACGCCTATTGCCACGTATGTAGTTTTTTTTCCCCCTTTTTTTCTTCTCCTTTTTCTTCGCTCTTCTTTCTGGTTTCCGCTTCAGACTCAGTGCGAGTGACGGCATGGACGATCCAACTCAACTCCTCGAAGCAGCTTCTGATTTTGCTAACTACCCAGGTTGCTAACTTCGCCATTCTTCACTTCCCTTCTCTATGATTGTTACGTTTTTCACTTTTTGACTCGCATTGTTTCACTTTCAGGGCTGCTAAGCGATGATTCCGCTAGGGACTTTCTCAATCGCTTCCCTCTCCCGCTCATTATCAAGTTCGCTTCTTTTCCTCCATTTTGTGATACCCTTTTCCTCGTTTTGTGTGTTGTTGCTTATTGGAGTGGTTAGTGGTTTGAAATGGGGGCAGTTTTGAGTGTATGCATAGAATTATTGAAAAAAAAAATGTGTTGTCTGAAAGAAATGGAAGTTTATATATTTGTTATTTTGGTCTTTGTGTTGAATTTTGGAGGAGCTTCAGGTTTTGACATGTTTCTGAGTTGAGTGCATTTGGTATCTTCTTTATTAGTTATTACTTGATATGAATGCATTTTGAGTAAAACTATTGAACTCATTGATCTGTTGGCTACATTGTTCTTTGACCTAATTGAAAAAAAATGATTTTGTTTCAAACCTGTCTTGATTAGTAGAGAACTATTCTTCATGCCTAATGATGTCTGAAGGGTTTTAAATTGTGGTCATGTGTCACAGTCGCAGTTTTTCCACACTTGATATTGTGAAAAACTTGAGACAAATGCTTTTGATGCCGCTGTGGATGCTGCAATTGTGGTTGCCATGCGGTTGTGGAAACCTTAAAAACCTTGATGTTAAGGCCAAAATTGTGGTTGCTGGTCATTTTAAATAAAACCTTGGATGCCTGTATTGTATGAAGTGTTGTAGAAATTTTTTTAGTTCTCAGTCATGAAATTAGGTTGAGGTTTTGTTCAGTGTTAATTCAAAGACATTATACATACTTCTAGAGAAATTTACCCTTGATTTTCTCCTTTAATTTTGCAGTGCGTTACAGACTCAATTTGATGTGCCTGGCCTAGAAAGTACTCTAGTTGCATGCCTTGATAGGTTATTCAATACGAAGTTTGGCGCTTCTTTGATCCCACAGTATATGGTTTGTAATATACTCCCTTGGCTAATTAATTCTATTTTTGTTTTTTAGTTGTTAGTTGAACTGGCTTGCTCATTGCACTGAAAGTGAAACTAAAAGTTTTCTGTTTTCCCAAAAACCTATCTACTTATAGTTCTGGTTGACTAAGCTTTTTTAATCGTTTCTAAATTCACGGAAGTTTGCTAGTAACAAATGACTTAATTTTTATTTGTCTTTGTTTCTTATGCACCAAAAAACCTGATTGAATTAGAGTTTGTTTTTCCTCTCTCAATGATGACTAAATTGATTGTTATGATATCTATGGGGAAAGTGAATGTTTATTTTACCTGTCTTTGTTTCCTAGCCCATAGAGTGTGTCACTGATCCAAGTCTTTTCCTCCATTACGTTTTAAAGCATTGATATTAGTTCTATTTTTAATTTAATATAATTGTTTTCTGTTTTCATATAATGCTTCAATATCTTGGAACCACCAGCATTTGAATCATTAAAAAAGAATAGACAGAGTAAATAAGATAGATCTTGGACCAAGGTGCAGTTTGGATTAGTGGGTAAAAACATGTGGAAAAAGTTTTGACTTGATAGATAGTGTTCGGAAGTGTGCTCTTAACAAGTAAGACCTACGAAGAACTGACAAGCAAAGTACTTAAAATATTGTATCTGTGCAGTTTATCAATTAATTTAAGAGGGGGCATTAAAATGTTTTCTGTGTTCAAACATCAGTCTTCATTCTGCATAGATAAAGTTATGTATTATTTCTCCTATTAAATTATTTTATTATTTTAATAGTTATTCTTATTGCTTTGCTATTAATGTTTTGGTTCAGCCTTTTGTTCAAGTTGGTTTGCAGACAGATTCTCAAGCAGTCAGATCCTTAGCTTGCAAAACAGTATGTGGTTATACTTTATGCCAAATTTATTTAAATCCTTCTGTAGAATGCGCAATGGAGATTCATCACCCTCCACTCCTCCAATAAAAACAAATATTTTATGTTTAATGGAATGTACTTTAATTTTTCTTTACATAATTCTTTGCAAATTATATTAGTCACTCGTCAAAAATAATTTTTATGAGGTTTGACACTGATGCCTGTGGCCTGTTCTTAAGTATGTGTGCACTTGTGTAGAGATCTACAATCAATCTTGAACCTTTACTTAATATAATAATAGCTTAAGCTTTTAGGATACTTTGGGTTGTGTGGATAAACTTTTCCAAAAGTACTTATAAGAAAAGAAAATAGGAAGAAAAGATAAAATTAGCTTCTCTATGAGCTAATAAGTTAAAATTAGCTTATGCATAATCTAATTTATAAAAGCTCTCATATTAGCTTCTCATAAAACTTATTTTTTAACTTAAGCATAAACTCATTTTAGCTTTTGGAGAAGTTCATTTCATTTTTGCTTTCCAATTTTATTCTCTTATAAGTGTTTTTGGAGAAGTTTATCCAAACAGACTCATAGTTTTTGACATGATGTTATCAGATTCAGGAGCCTTTATGACCATGTAATCAGGTATTCGATCTTTGCAGGCTGATGAGTTTGGGCATTATCCGTGGTTCAAGCCCAAAGTGTTGTTGTTTGGAAGGTGTTTTAGAGACATAAAAATAATTGCAAACCTTCACGTAATTGGTGTGTTTGGTTTAGTCATTTTTGGAGAATTAAACACTTCCTAGATATGCACTAAACTCTTGGGAGAATTTGTCCTTGACAATTGCAACTTTTTAGTGTTCACATATTTCATTCTTTGTTTACAACTTATTGTAAGGTTAGTTTCTTTAACAATCATGTGTGTGTATTTCTGTAACCGCAATTATTTTACTCTCATATTTCCGTCTCATCATTCCTTTCATTCTAGTCCACTCTATGGTGCTTCTTATTAAATGAAGTTAGTCAAAGTTGTATATGCTCTTCTATTGGGATTTAAATGGTCTGATAATTACATATGAATTTATACACCTGAAAATAAATTTTGGCTAGCTATTTTTACCAATGCATATCACTACTTATGTGGTACATTTTTTTAGCAACATTATTTTTGTGTGATATGGTATCAATTTGCAGGTCACTTGCCTTCTAGAGAATATTGACAATGATTACAAAGTTGCTGTTCGACTAATTGAAGACTCTAACATATATCCTCTTTTGCTTGATTGCCTTATAAATGGGTTAGTAGAGAGTATTATGAGTTTCTTATTCTAAATTTCTAATTGTTTAAGATGACACTGTTTAAGATCTCCTTGTTTTGTGTAAAAGTTGGAAATTATGAAAGAAAGGATGTTATTGGTAATTTATAAAAATGAGTGGAAATTTGTACTTGAGAATATTGGTTCCCCACATTTGGGAGGTATAAGATGGCATTCTAGTATTTGGATGCCTTGATTTGGGCTACGCCTAACTCAACCCCAAAAACTAGTTGATGAGGTGAGAATTGCCCAAGCCTTTTATAAGCTCTAATTTAGCCATATCTATAGTTTAATTGGGATCTCAATCAACGTAACCATATGTCTATGAGGAACTTAGTTGCTGCAGTAAAAGTAATTTATACCTACAACCAACGCAAGCATCTTTTTTAGGTATCAATGATAACCAGGAATCATAGATGCTTGGATGAGAATGATAGTGTAGCAAACATCTCCATAGTTTCATATTGATGTCAACTGTACCAGTATTTGTATTTATTACTGGTTTGCTTGCTGGTACTTTGATATGAACCAGAATCTCACAGTAGCAATTAACACATAAATCAGATCAATAATGGAAAAATATGGTTTGTAATATTTCTGGAAAACAGGAATTACAGTGGAATGAATATCTCTACTACCACAGACTAATCTCCTTTAGGGAACCCAAGTTCTCTGCCCATGACAAACCATTTGATTCTACCCGATACCCCTCTCTCTTCCCCCTGATTTCCCTCATAACAGAATCCCATCACACAAGTCTCACCCCTCCTATTCTTTCTAGCACATATTGGGCAGTTTAGGTGCAAATTGCCTATTTGGACCCAAATCCATCTGAGGTCCTAACATACTTTGTATCATTAAGCATGGCTTCCTCTGTTTTTATGTATGATAAAGGAAACCCTACAATTCCTGTACAAGTTTCTGTTTTGGTGTAAGGCCAGGATCTACTGGTTAAAAATATTTCTCTAAGCAGGGTTGAGAGTTGAGACTAGTTTAATATTAAGCAGTAAATCAGGATTCCTGTAAAGGACCTTTTTTATACAGTGGTAAACGGTTGCTTTTTCAGAGGATTCCATTATTACTCCTTGTTTCATTATATTTTACATTTCTTTGGTTAGATCTGGTTGCTTGCTCACAAGTTAAGTATAATGTTTTTGATAGTTCACCCTTATAATAGATCATTTGATTTTCATATCTTCTCACATATGTAGCAATGAACAAGTGGCAGCTGTGGCAACGGATGCAATTAAAATGTTAGCTGGTTTTCCTGAAGGCATGGTAATAAAATTCTTTTGTAAAGTCACGTAATTGTCTTTAACTTGTATGTAAGGTATGAGATTAATTAAAACCCTATCATTCAAGAATACTGGCTGACATGCTTTACTATTGTAGGAAATTATCTTTCCATCTGCCAAAGAGGGTGGTACAGACCTAGCGATTTTTGCATCAAAATGTTCATCACTGGTATGGTAACCAATCTGTTAATGCATAGATTTGTATTTTTCATTGAATATATCAACATATAAACTATGTTGAGGGCTTTACCATGAATGCATGGGAGAGCTTGAGCGAATGATCAGACCTTTTGCCTCCACAAAAAGCAATGATATGTACTCTTGCTTTATTGTATTTGAAAATAAATTTCAACAGACATTTACGTGAATTGGGTGTTTTGCACTCAGCATATTGATATTTCTAAACAGGGAAAATTAATACAATTTGTATTTACAAGAACAATGAAGAATTTGATTATTTTCTAATATCCTAATGTTCCCAATACTTCGTAAATTCCTATTGTTTATAAAGCTGTTGTAAGTACGATTAACATTTTCGACATTCCCACCCCCAAGCTGGAGGCATAAATCATATGCACTAAGCTTGCTACAATAAATATATTGTCTCATGCATAGTCAGATAATTTACTGGTTGCAGGAGAGAACCACAAATTGGTTGGTGCATACCAATTCATGGTTCTGGGACGTCCGAACTCCCAATGCATTACCTTTGATTGTCAAATATCTGAAGTTTGTCACGACTGCCCACCTTAACATTCTGTGTTTCGGTCCACAATTTCCCACATTCTGTTGTTTTTTGAATTTTCAACATCCCACATTATGCCACAACTTCCCACACACTGGAGGATGTGGTAACCTGTATATATGATGTTGTTATATGTTATAAATGAAAAATATATTATACATATATGCATAGTTCTATTTATAGTTTATACAAATTTTTAGTTAGATAAAAAAATTGTTTGCAATATATTAACTTGTATATATATATATATATATATATATTAGAATATATTTTAAATTTAAATAAAGAACTGAAGCGTACCGACTATGTATCAACTATGGTCCTACGACTCCTAAGGGACTTTTTAAAGATTTCCTGGGAAGAGCTTTTTCTCATAAAAAGTTACAATCTATGTCAATATGCTTAGTTTTGTTTGTAAAAGTAAATTGGAGGCTATGCGTTGTTTCTTGGTTATCATAACACAACTTTATTTGTTTGATTCTTTCCAATTTTTATTTATTTTTATTTTTTATTTTTTATTCTTGAAGTAGTTGTTTATCCTAATGAGCTCACAAATATATATGGTCATGGCTCTATATTCAGCTTCCACACTTGATTTAACCACTACATTCTCCTTTAGTTCTTCTTGCTTTTCCATGATACAAAATTATTTCCAATAAAGATACAGTATCCTGTGGTAAATTGTGTATTAATTGAAGGTCTTACCTAATTTGCATTATAGAATATCTTATTACGAGTATTTATTTTATCTTCATTCTTCTCATGATAATAAACCTTGATTCATTGCGTACTTAATATATCTTGAAATTCAAACAATAGTATCCCAATGCTAGTATGTGCAGATTGCATGAACTGGTTTATAACTCCCCATATGAAAATAGATTGGTATTTTAGTAGTCTGTGTTGCACGGATAAGAGTATGGTACCAGGTGTGGTATGAGATACGCGATTTTTCAAAAATCTAGGGTACGGGTACATTAATGTTATTTAATATATATATATATATATATATATATATATATAATTATATAAACCTGAGTAAATTGTATAAATGATAAAAATGATTCACAAATAAACATGACACTTGTCACTTGATCAATAATATCAACAATAAAATCATAACAACTAAAGCATGATTATAATATCACATTTAAATTATGATATCACACTTTAATTGTGATATATCACACTATATCACACTTTAACAATTTCAATCTAATCGTTTCCTTGTCCATCATCTGTGAAAAGAACTACTTCTAGCTTTGGTTCATCCAGAGAAATTGTAGCAACTTCAAGAATGTTAGCCCCCTTAAATGGATCCCATTCATCTCCACCAATATCTCATATTTTGCTTTCATCCTTAATGTTGTCAAATATCCGTTATAACCCCGTTATAACGGAAAAACGTCGCGGTTTGAACCTAAACCGCCATTCGCCATCCGTTATATGAAGGTTTATGGCGGTTTCCGCCATTTCCGATATGGCGGCCGCCATGGTCATGGCGCCGTGAAGGTTTATGACGGGCATGGCGGTCATGACGGTTTTTTTTAAAAAAAAACCTATTTTTGGGCTTTGAAACAGGCCCAAATGGAGTGAGCCCTAAGTTTTTGGCTTGTCTCCGCGTCTCGTCTCTCTTCTCCCTCACAGTCGCGACTTTCTGCACTTGAAGAGGAGTGAACCCTAAACATCTCCGGTCACCTTTATTCAACTCCAATCACTGCACTTCGGTCACCTTTGCCACCGACCACCTGAACCGCGGCAGCCCAACACTCCGGCCAGCAACCACGAAGTGCCAACAACACTTACGGAAGTTGAAACCGCCCCTAATCACCTTCGTTCACCGCCCCTTTGTCCCCTTTCTGGCCGGCGACCTGAACCGTGGTGGCCCAGTACTCTGGCGAGCTACTCCGGCGAGCAACTCTGGCGAAACTAGGTTTTTTTTTTTCAGTTTTAATCCTACTTTTTTTTTCAGTTTTTATCTTCCTCCTACTTTTATTTTTTCAGTTTTAATCCTCCTCCTCCTTTTATTTTTTCAGTTTTAATCCTCCTGTTTTTTTCATTTTTTTTTTCAGTTATAATCCTCCTTTTAATTTTTCCTACTCCTTTGAGTCCTTTGTTAATGAATTCATTGTTGCATCTGCAGCAAGCAACAATTTTTTTAATCCCAATTCTTCTACCAATTGGGTCAATTTAAATTCCTATTTTCTTCTAAATTCTAAACTAACATTGAGTGCCTATTTTATTATTCTTTTTCTTATTTTTAGGACAATGTCTAGCAATCCAATTCCAAGCCAAAGTCAAACATCCTCAAACTTTGTTAGGAGAACAGACATAGGATGGAAACATTGTCATCCTACCAAAGAGAATGATACCAATGAAACTATATGCAATTATTGTAAAAAAATCATGAAAGGGGGAATTACAAGAGCAAAGCAACATTTAATCAATTATGTTATGAGACTTGATGAATTATGGTATTGTTTTTATGATATTTAAGTATTTAAGTTGATATTATGTTGGTTTTAATTTAGTTTTGTTGCTTGTTATTTATTATTTTGCTGTTTTCTTTGTATATAATATATATAAATATTTTTTTTATTTTTATTTTTTTGTCTGCCATGACGTCCGCCATAGGCCGCCATGGCATCCGCCCTAGAGTTATAAAGGATTTTTGGCCTCGCCGCCATAGACCGTTATCCGCCATCGATAACCTTATTGATCCTTTACATAACTCTTGCTCTTTTTTGAGGGAAGACAAAAAATTGTATGTATAAAAACTAAATCTTCAGCTCTTTTAGGATTGAGCCTCTTTCTTTTCATAGAATGGATAAAAGAATGTGTTCCAATTTCTCTGACAAGAAGATGATGATGGTTGTGAGAGAAGTTTAAATGCAACATATTCAAGTTTGGAAATTGCTACACCATACATGACCCACCAATCTTTTGGTTTAATTTTTTTAATTTTTTGTTAGACATATATAGGTTTTATTTTTCGGATTTGGGTACGGGTCTGATACGTACCTAAAAAGTATGTGTACCCAAATTAAGTACCCAATTTTTTTTTTTTTTTGTTGAAAAATGTTCTAAGTGTGTGCTTGGTACGTGCTGACGAGTACCCAATGTGTACGGTGAGATAATTTAATTTCCCAATCAATCTCCTATTATTTTCCGGATCTATATATAGCTCTTCCTGCTCCGATTATTTATTATTATTCAGGTCTGTTACACTTGGATATAGACTAGCCTAGCCTGCAATGTGACATACCAGTTTCTTTTAGCATATCCAATGTATATTTCCTTCATGAAATAAAACCATCTCTTGACTCGGCAACTTCAATATTGAAGAAGTATTTACACTTTCCAAAGTCCTTGGTCTGTTAGAGAATATATGAAAATATACAAATAGTATCTTGAAAATTTCTAGGAATATTCTTTAGGATTAGTTTTCTCAATCCTCATCATCTCTTAGGATGGTATATCTCATGATTTGTGTCCCATTTAGGTAAGATTATGATTAATATAAATAAGGGTTAGTTCTCTAGGTTTTATGAGCATATCACATTGTAGTATCAAATTATTATCAAGTAATAATTCTCTCCCTTTTATCTCTCTATACCTAGAATCCCCATACTTCAACTATCTAAAAGCTTTTAAACTAGTGTTTCTTCAATTAAATAATTTTCTGATTGGAACCATATTTAATTAATAAAAAAAACAAAGCAAAATTATTGACTGGAAAAAGAACTATAACACAATATGACCCTATAATCCTAGAGCTAATGCTCCTCAGAGAAGATATGATTCTCTCCCCCTGCTCAACCTCTCAAGGTTCTAACAGAAAAGATTCTTCATGCCTTCCTCTTTTTGTCCACCCTCCCTATAAGTACATTCCCTCCCCTAACCAACTAGCCACATCAACAATTGTAACTCATTTGTGTTCAGCCCAGCTCCCAAACCCAGTATTCGATGATTATTTTTATCTTTTCTCTCCTTGTCCTCTCCATCGTACAATTTGTTCCTAGCATTCAGGGAATAGCTTGTTCTTGCTTTTTCCCTGCTGATTTCATCTTCTTTCCTGTCCCATAACTGATTCTATAGCCACTGCACTTCGTCTTCTGGTCACTCTTCATCATTTCTCCTAGAATTTGGTTGTTGCACCTTTTTTCATTCATGATCATTCTCTGATTCTCTTGCAACTTCTCCCCACTGATTGCTCAAAGATTTCAATGGGTGATTCTAATTCTCTTTGATCTTCTTTCAAGATAGATAGACTATTAAAACTCCTGCAATCATAGCTGATTCTGAATCTTCTTATCATAGCGTGGAAAACGACTCCAATCTGCATCAAGGTCCTCTAGGCACCAAGACTAAAACCAAATCATTGCTTCATCCTCCACGCTCATGAATGCCCATTGAAGCTTATCATATGACTGATTTTCTTGTTCCATAAAGAACCTCATTTCTAACAATCCACCCAATGGGGTTCATTCATGTAAAGTCCGGCAGCTCCACCTTTTTGGCCATCTTGATCTCCATCTCTGGTAACATTAACTCTGTCTTGGGCAATCTGGCAGGTTGGACCATTTGGTAGAAAGCAGATATAATAAAAGAACACAACAATATTATTGGTTGGAAAAGGAAGAACTAAAACAAAGGATGATCCCTGTAATCTCAGAGCTAATGCTCCTCAGAGAGTCATACGACTAACATTATAGTACTTATTCATGAATATAATAAAATCAATAAAGAGCATAATTTTTTGTTCCCCATTTATAAAAAAAATACTAAATTGAAATGCATGGTCTATGTATTCTTTCATTGATTTTAATTTTTTGATATATTTTTTTTTCTTTTGGAGGGGGGTGGGGTGGGGCTCTGTTTCACACCTTGTGCATAATTGACTTAATTTGCTTCTGTAACTTTTTTACTGTTTTTTATTTAGGGTCGAGTTCGTGTACTGGCTTTAGTGGTGAAGCTTTTTTCTGTATCTAGGTCAGCAGCATCTACCATTTACAGATCAAATCTACTTAAATTGTTGGAAGCAGAAATCAGAAATGCAGATGATACCCTTGTAACTTTAAGTGTTTTGGAGCTTTTATATGAGGTTACTAATCTCTCCTTTCCTGTTGATTCTAGACTTTAATCATGCATAATAATCCTTCTGCTTGTGCATGTTCACTATGCTTAGTTACTTTGTAATATAAACTTTGTATCCAGAGAACAAACACTTTACTTTGGTTTTTTTCAGTAACAGAATAATGAATGTTTTACATGGAACTAATGGGACTAAGCCTAACAATCATGTTAATAAACATCACACTAGTGTTCATTGCCTGTCAAGAGTTTTTCCGGATTAAACTATCTTTTTTATTATTCATTTTGGGAGAGATAAGAATGTGTGTGGTTAATTTATAGATATTGGGGCATAATCTATTACCCTTTTAAAGTGTATTTGTTTCACGGATTAAAAACTTATTCCCAGGAATATTGAGTTGGAAATGTTATATTCCCATGTTTGTTTAGAGTTTTGAAAAAATATTCTTGCGTATAATTTATTCCTAGGAAAGTAGCCATAACATGATTCACTTCATTTTGATTCCCATGGTGGACGATGGGAAAGTTGTATTTGCATGGGAATGTGGGAAGTTATTTTTAACCCACTTTTTCCACTCATTTTTTTATTTTAATTAATTTAAACTTTTAAAATATTCTCAGGAATAACATTCCAATAATAATATTCCTAGGAGTGTGATTCCCAAGAAAGTAGTAACTTACTTGAAAACAAACGCCCCCTTAGTAATTGGAGACTCAAGTGTTTGTTCCAAAATGTTTCCACTCATGGTTCTTTTAAGATAGCATCCTCCTCTGCTCCCTCCAGACACAAACTGAATTTTATAAACTACAAAGATTCCTTAGATAAACCAAACTCAAAAGAATAATCTCATCACACATGTAACACGTGCCAAATTCAGGAACTCTGCATTAGCAACTATCAGTTGTTATGCACTTCTCCAGTTCACATTACATGCACATATATACATTCTCACTTTGTGTCTCAAATGGATGCAGCTAGCAGAAATTGAACATGGTACAGAATTTTTGTCAAAGACTAGCATCCTTCAATTGCTTTCATCAATAATTAGGTAATCATTATTATCTTCTCAAGAATATTTATTCATCTTATGGATGTTGGGATAATGTTTTCCTGATATAAGTACATCCCTTTTCTTGAGGCTAGCAACAATTCTATGGAATCAATTTTAAGATCAAGAGCAATGATGATAATTGGAAGGCTACTGTCCAAGGACATTATATACTCCTTCACAGATGAACCTTGTAAGTGTTGCAGTATATCCCTTTCTCTTTGGATTAATATTCGTCGGAATATGCTGAAAATTGATTTCAACATCACATCTTCAGAATAACAATTTAAATACTCTAATCCATCTGTCTGCACATCTAAATGCAACAAGGTTTTATTGCAAATATAGTGGGTCTCTTGCTGGTTTGTGCTGAATGCTGATTTCATTTGTCAATTGCCCATGTACTTCACACGATATGCTTCATAATCTTATTATTAAAGAACTAGAAACTACGGATATGCTGCAAATTGATTAAGTCCTTGTTGTGAAAGATGTTTCCTTGCAGGGGTTGTTCTTCATTTTTAAAGTGTCCATGTGTTTCTCATATTTGTTGCATAATTTAATAATTGTTTTTGAAAGAGATTGAAACTGTTAACTAATGTATATTTGTTGAACTTTTAAATTGATAAATTCAGGTGTTATAGCTGTTATTTCATCTATTGACGGTAGACTTCAGTCATTGGAACCTTCAGATAGAGATGAATGTGAAACTGCACTTGAATCATTGGGTCAAATGGGATCATGTAAGTATGTATTTTAACATTTTTTTTTTGTATCTTCTTGGAAAACTAATTTTAGTTGATTAAATTATATTGGTCCTATGCTCTTAGTTATCAATCTTGAATAACGTGGAGTAGCCTACCCCAAAAGCACTATAGTGGGATGACCACTGTTATGATTTTTTAAGTATAAATTAAATAATTTATATTAAATATATATAAATGATCAAATATAAAAAAGATTCAGTTACTAAGTAGGTCCCTGAACTATTTGGTAATTTTCAAATAGGTACCTAATCATTTTTTTAATTAGGTCCCTCCACTAAAAAAGTAGGTCCTAGGGGTTAATTGTTAGCAGCTTGAAACGTCAGAAAATTACATTTAATATCCCTAGGGTCTCAATTAAAAAATATTACATGATCAAGGACCCAATTAAAAAAAAATTTAGCTCAGGGACCTATTTGAAAATTCCCAAATAGATCAAGGACCTACTTAGTAATTTAACCTATAAAAATTACTTAAAATTGAAGACACATTCATAATTAATAAATAAAATTCATAATTTTAAGCCAAATACAGAAGTTAATAACAAGAAGAGGCAAGTAATATAAAAGGAAAAAAAGTATAGCAACAGTACACCGGTGCTATTGCCCTTGATTAACTGCTATGCCTGTGGTCTACCTTGAAAGTTGATTACCTCCCATCTTTTCTAGATTTCTGTTGTACTTGAAGTTACAATAACCTCCCTGGGATTTGACAAATTACATAGATCTCCATTGTTTTAAATTTTAAACCAACATGACTCATTCTTTTTAAGAAAATTACAGATATTAAAATTTAAGATATCATGCTACCAAGTATATACTACCTTAAGTCCTAATTATAAGCAACAAATTGAATTTTCTTTTAGCCTTATTTATAAGTAACAATCATTAGTTTTTAAAGTTAATCAAGGTTAAATTTCTTTTATACCTTTCATTTATTGTTAACTATATTTCTTATGCATTTACTTATAATTAGTGTTAAATATAACAACCACTTAAAAGTAGAGGGTATATTTGGAATAAAACTTGAATTTATGATAGAACAAATTAGAAGTAACCATATTTATTACTTGGTTTTGATAATTTGTCTTATATTGCTTACAATTAGGACTGGAGGTAGTATTATGCTAGAATTCAAAATGAGGGAGTTCTTCATAATTCAGAGACAAATATGTCCTTGTAAATTGATCTATCTAATTGACTTTTTCTATTAATAAAAGAAAAATATATTGATTGAAGAGAGTTGAATACAACAATGGAGAATATGGAATCCTCTGGAGCCAATACAAAAGGCAGAAATAAAGAAAAATTAAATTTTACTCAAGCAGTGAATAGTTCACGAGAAGCTAAGAACACATTCCTATTGCACATGTTTTGCATGGATAAAGTTCTCTGTTGTTACATTCAAATGAAAGGCATCACAAACCAGTAAACAGATCATACTTCCACAAATCCTTCCAATCCTCTGCCTGAAACCTTAACACGTGCAGTGAAAATGCTTCAAAGCATTGGGACAAACTCATTGTTGGAAAATGCTTACTACGACCAATCCTTCTGAGTTATTGCCCTTACCTCACTAGGTTGGCCTGGCTCTTGGGAAATGCTTATCTTTACCCTAAATATGCCAAGTGACTTCACAATGAAGAGATTGGAGAAAAACCTGACACCCAATCCAAACCCAAAATAGCCGAAGAGAAAACAAAAGAAGATTGTTTTGGTGAGTTCAGGTGGGCATATGGGTTAATCGGATTAAAAAATCGAGTAAAAGTGGGTATTGTTGGTCAGGTTCGGTTTTGAGTTTTTGACAGTCAGTAACTGAATCTGACCAACGATGTAGGTTGCAAAATTGAAAAGATAAGGAGACATTTATGTTTGTAACTGTTCAATAGATTTTGCTTTATGTATTTACCTACCACTCACATTCAAGCATGGGAATGATACATTGCAAATATAATTTATATTTATACAACGTGCACTAAGGCCCCTAAAACAGATTTGTCATTGCTTCAAGCTGATTGACATTGGGAAAAACCTTTGGATTGATTCCCTTATTTGATCAATATCTAGGAAAGTAAGATAGAAGGTTTGAGTGAAATACTGAAATGCTTGAGTGGTTTTTTCTCAGTTGGCTGTGTTCATATACATCAAAGAAGAGATACATCTTTTATATACCAGAACAATAAATAGGAATGGAACTGTTTCCTATTATCCTAAATTTCCAATGCTTCATCAACGCCTATTGTTTCAATGCTACTTCAATAACAATTGTTTGTTGCATCCAACAGTGACCATTTAATCCTAAATTCCTAATAATATGAGAAATTTTAATCTATGGTTTTTGTGATCATAGCTGTCCAAGGAGCCACATTACTACTCTCAGGTTTATTGCCTGCTGCTAGACATGTTATATATGCCGCTTTTGATCGACAAGGACCACAAGGACATGGTAAACAGCTGGTTAGTGAACCAATACTTGTTCTTTCCATTTCAAAGTGTTTTAAGGTATACTAAACTATTGTGATTTGATACTGTAATCCCATTGTATGTTGTGCTCAATTTCTTGCTAAGGCGACCTGAAGAAGCATATTGTCCTCAAGGTTGAAGTTGAAAATAGCTGAAACAGCATTTATGGGGCATTGATGCAATGTGCTGCAAACAGTTATTTGGTAGTAATGTTCTGAATCTTGAAAGTGTTGTTCCCTAGGACTGTAGCATCTATTTAAGGATCCATGGCATTCCCAGGTGATTGAAACTTGTTGTTGTTGGCCTCCTTGACATCAATTTGATGTAGCATTCAACTAGCCTGTTTCTTATAACATCTTATAGGGACCTGGGTATTATTGGATGCCTAAGTCCCACATCGAGTAGTATGGGATGCTTGATGAAGTACTTAAGTGGCTTGGTTCTCCTCCCTTGACAGCTAGCTTTTAAGGGAGGGATCCCCAAGTGTTTGGGTTCTTGTTAATTGATATTAGGGCTAGTTGGTTGTGTTTCAGAAAGTGCTACCTATAGAGGGTCTGACCAACGGACCAGTAAAGCGTTGTAGAGAGCAGTTGCTAGGATATCAGCTCCCAGGGGCGGTGCTATGGTATTATGGGGTGCCTAAGTCTCAAATCGAGTAGTATGGGATGCTTGGTGGAATACTTAGTGTTTTGATTCTCCCCCCTTGACAGCTAGCTTTTAAGGGGGGATTCCCTAGGTGTTTCGATACTTATGAAGGACATACCATTCAAGTTGAGAAAAACATAAGACATGTAATTTCCAAGGATGTAACGAGTCCAGTAATATAATTTTGTTTTTGTATCCTCTGGAAGGTACAGTTCAAAAGAAGATGCATTACTTGAATAAATTCTTAGTTGTTCTTGATTGTAGATAAAGTTGGGATTCCATTTTACATGGATGGTGTTATATTATGCTAATAAATTGTCTTCTAAGTTATAACATACATGGTTTCTTAAATGGAAATAACAGGCTGCATTGCATGCTCTTGGAAATATCTCGGGAGAAACCAGATCTGAGAGTAACATCATACTGAATGCTGAAGCAGAAGAAAACCTGCGACGCCTAATATATGAAACAGCATCCAGAAGCTCAAAGTTGACACCATCGGTTGCCTTTTTTCATTCTTTTCAGTTTCAACTTCTTTTTATTGGTTAATTATTTTAAATTCTATTTATGATAATGGTTTGGCTTCTCTTTAATCTTTGAACTAAAGGGGCTAGACACACACACATATATGAAGCTTTATCTAAGCTGTAGCTTTGTCCTAACTTAATCATGACTGCCTTTGTAAGTGTCAAAATAAAAGAGGACCACACTGATCAGTAGTATGGTATATATCTGTGTATTTTTTGTATTAACACTTTTTCACTGAAGAATGCTTACTTTTGTTTCTTTCAATCCTTATCATTATGTGTCACTATACAGAAAGTGATTTAAAATACATATTAGCCATGTGAAAATTCCATCTTGAAATATGCACATGACAAAAAATGTTAATAGCAACTTACCTACCAAATGACTGTTAATTAAATAGTAATTGTGCCCCTCCTAATTAGACGGAACATCTTTGCTTCCATAAATAAAAGATATTATTGACCAGTTACTTTCAGGCAGCAGCCTGTAAGTAAATTTTAGAAAGTCCTCTTAGAACCAAAAATCCTCAAAGCTACAATGTTCGTTTAGTCGTCTTGCATGATAGCTTTTTAATTAAATGTTGAAATATTACAATCTCACCAAGTTCATGCACTTTTCAGGGTCTTTTTCTGTCTGTTTTGCAGCAGGATTCAGAAATACGTCTAGCGGTGAGACACTGAAACATCAATATGAACTTTTTGTATTATGATCTTATATGCACTTTAGTTTTTAAATAATTTCCTCAGTGCATATACTTTAGAAGTCAACCTGTCTAGGTGATTTTGTTGGATGGAAATGTCAGTTCAATAATTCCAAAACTCAACAATGTTGCATTTAGGTCTTTGAATCCAAATAATTTGATTAATCTTAGAGATGAATCTGTTTATACTAGGCTTTTCTTAAACTGTAACATGTCAGTATGCTGTAAAGCCGAAACATAGCAATCAATAATGAAGCACTTATGTTTATATATAGGGGCACGTGTCTATAAGAACAATTCCCATTTTAAGAATGCGAGAGCTACTAAATTTGAGTTATACAATCTTTTCATGAATGATTAAAATTTATATTTTCTGGTCTCATGACCACTTAAGAAAGTTATAATCATTATCGTTTAAATATAATCTAATAATATATATTTATTATCCTTATTTCATACAATAACTAAGAGTTCTCTTCTATATACTCTCTCTATCTATCTATCTATCTATATATATATATATATAATTGTCCATGAAAAATTTACAAAAATAAAATCAACATTTTCAGAGCTATAGAACGATAAGTGGATTGGTTGCCCGACCATGGTGCTTGATGGAGATATGCTCAAAACAAGAGATTATAGATAAAGTGACCAACCCGAGTACTGAAACCACAAAAATAGGTATGTAATATGATCTAGATGTCTGTTAATATGCTTATAATAGTCATACCAATACCATATGTTTTCCTGTCACTTTGCTCCAACTGTACTTTCCTATTTTAACATAATTGGAGCATTTCAGGTATGGAAGCTAGATATAACTGCTGCAAGGCGATACAAAGATCATTGACATTGTCTAGTAGAGTTTCTGCTGATCCTGCTTTTGCAGGAATAGCAGCAAAGGTGAGATACCAAATCTTTCCTCTATATTTGTGCATGTGTATTTGTTGGTATCCTTTCCAGGCTTTTTTGTATGCACTCCTTCTAGATATAGATACCATATGTGTTCGTGTTTGTGTGTCTAGTGTATCAAGTGAAAACCCTTGTTATTGTGAGATTGAGGACTATAAATATAGAATTATGGACTATTAGATCACATTTAAATAGTCGAGATTAAAATGTGCATGACATATTTAAGTAGTCTTGACTATTCATGTGTGGTTTTATGACTCAGATTCATAGTTTTAATTTCTCACAATAACAATAAATTCTCACTTGAAACAAACCATATATATATATATATAAAGAGAATAAGAGGAGAACATCAGCATGCTCATTTACCTGTATATTATATTCAAGTGATAATTTTGTAATCTTGCATGCAGTTGCAGGAAGCTATTGGAATGGGTCCATATCTTGTTAAAAAAAGGGTTGAAGTTCAACCTATTGTGGAGACGGCTGACAGATTTTAGTTTACACACCTGCCTGGTCAGCAAATACATGTAATAGGGTTATATTTTCTTTTCTTGCCCCTCTAATACAATGTGCAGTACCATAGAACAAAATCCTTTTTGCTCAAAGTCAAATGTTGGAACTTAATGGAATAAGTATATTTGTCATAATTTTGAGTGGATTATATTTCAATGACTTTTTTCAACTCAAGCAAATAATGATTCTATTCAACTGTTAACATTATTTGGCTACGAACTGACATATTTCTTTTCTAGAAATTCTTATAGGAGAAAAAAGTATGAAGTAAAAATGAAATGCTTTTCTCTAAGTTAAAATTAGTTGATGCACAAGCTAATTAATTTATGTAGGAACTCTCTTATGAATTTTTCAAAAATGAGATATATGTTTAAGTAATTATCTCTTGGTTTTTATTTTTATTAGACTCTTTTATCCCTTAATTCATACCACCCACTTTATAAATTTTAAAATTACTTAATCTCCGTAATAAACATATACTATCCACTCTCACTAATTTGTAGGATTATATACTTTCAAATCTCTCTCTCTCTTATTATTTTTTTTTATTTTTTTACAATCATCTTGTCTTAAAACTCTAACAAATGTTTGTATTGATTACTATTTTCATATGGGTTACATGTGACTATGAACAACATACGTGCATCTCACATACAATACATATTTAATATGTGATATGATTATTTTAAAATATATGATGTACGAGAAGTCTAAGACATGTGCCTTCATATGTATTGATATTCATAAAATTTTCATAAACGGAATAAATCCTTCCTCCATTCTCTATTATAAGACAATTTAAAAGAAGCTGATAGTCTTTTTTATAAGATATTTTACAATTTTTTTATAAAGTATTAATTTTAGTTTTTATCTTATGTCCCTATGAAAAGTTGTGAGAATATATGTTTATCTCTTAACTCTCAAATTGTTATTTATCACTTTGTATCGGTAATTTTTTCACATCTCATGAAAATTTAGTGGCAAGTAAAGTGGGTAAAATTGATAAATCATAATTTTGGTTTATAAGAACATCTGTAATGAGGTTGTTTATAAGTAACTTCTATGTCACATCACTGCAAATCAGTTCTGACTTACTTTATGGGTTGTTTAAATTTTAGCAGAATTGTTTTTACAAGCTGCTAAAATTTAAGCAACCCATAAAGTGGGTCAGAATTGAGTTGGCAGTGATGTGACACAAGGAGTTGCTTATAAGCAACCCCCTTGGAGATGCTCTAAGTAAAATTAACTAAAATAATAACTTATAATAAAGATTGGAATAATTGTAATTTTGCAAATGCAAATTAAAATTATACTTATTGAATATTACTAAAAATAAAAATAAAACTATAAATTATTGCATCACTTCTAATTATTTACTAATAGAAATAATACCATTGTTCTCATTTATTTCTTAAAATTATCTATAAAGAAGATATTTTTTATTTGATTAAATTATCTAGTTAGTTTTTCTATAATATCAATTACACTTTTGTTCCTTTATAATATTAAATTTACAATTTTGGTCGTTCTATTTTTAAATATGTAATTTTAGTTTTTTAATTTTGTGAAATATGTAATTTTAGTTCTTTATTTGAAAGTTCATCATTGTTAAAATTCTATGATGTAAAAATATTTTTTTATGAAATCGCAACTAATATTTTTTTATGAGGAAAAATATTGAAAAATCTTTTAAGAAAAAAAGGATCCTTGAAATTAGATTTAAACTTATAAGTCAATTACATGTAGAAAAGGTATTAGCATCTTATAACGCTTGTTAAAAATAATATTTTTAATTAATTATACAAAATTATATATCTTTACAAATATTTATTTTATACCTAAGAATTTTTTTTATTCTTTATTTTAATAATAATTTACATGTGAAATATGTTTATTTTTGCATTTTTATTTAAAGGAAGGAAATGTGAATAAGAATTTATGCTAGCGAATGATTAGCTATTAAAAGACAACTTTTATTTTATTCTATGCATAAAAGTTTATAATAACAAATGACTATTTTACAAACTTTTATGATTTACATGATATTAAAAATAGAAGTATTATTCAATTAATATTACGAACTATTGTATAAAAAATAATTTTATATGTGAAATAGATTTTTTTTTATATTTTTAATTAAAAGGATAAACTTGTATAAAAATTTAAGTTAGTAAAAACTAATCATTACACCCTTATAATAAAGTTAAAGATAGAACTGTTATTCAATTAAAATATTAATTATTGCATATATTTTTTAAAAAAATATTATTTTATCAAAAGATAATGACTTTCATGTTTTAGAAATTATTCCGATACAATATTTTTAGCAAGCAAGTGACTAGTCATTAAACCTTTATAATCGAATAATATCAAAGATAAAATTATTATTTAATTGCATATGATTATATTTTTTTTAAAAAACAAATCCTATTTTACTTCATGCACAAATTCATGATAGCAAATAACTATTTCATAAATTTTTATGATTAAACGATATTAAAAGACAACAATGTTACTTAGTTAATGATCACTGCATGAGTTAAAATCATTTTTATTTTTCACAAAAATAGATACATAGTACAAATAAATAAATGAAAAAACTCCTTTTATCTTTTATTATTATTTTTTGTATAGAAAGCAAGAAAAGATGAATGAAAAATAAATAATAAAAATACTATGGTTATGTTTTTGAATGTCATGAAACATGAGGTTTCATTCCATTAATTTTCAATTCAAAAGAGAAAGAAAAAGAAAAAGAAAATATGTAGATACTTTCACGTAAACAGCGATCTAACGTATATATATATATATATAAAAGAACAATTGAAAGTAAAAAAGAAAAAGGTACTAAATGCGAAGTTGATAAGACGTTGTGGAGGAAAAAATAAAAGGAAAACCTCTCTGCTGCAGGGACCTCAAAGTATTTAGAGAAATTGGTAAACACTTCGCTGAATGGTAACTTTTACTTCTTATCTTTTATTTTTTTTAATTACTAATACTGTATCTCGTGATCCGATGCCTTTATTTTTTCAACAAAATAAAATTAGTTATTTACAGTAATGTTGATCATAATTTTTATTTATAGGAAAGATTACGAATTGAACTTAGGTGCTACCATTTTTATTCTAATCACTTCTCCCTATTTATTAGACTAATTCTAGTAATCATGTTAGTCACGATTTAATATTAAATAGACAATATAATAAATAATATTTAATAATATTTAGACTAAGTTTTATTTTTAATTTTCATTTTTATCTTAGATAAAATATGATAAAAATAATATAAAAATAAGAATTAAAAGTATAAATTAATTTATGCGTTATTAAATATTAATTATTGTGTCATTTATATAATATTCGGTGATAATAAATATTATAATTTTAGTGATTAATAGATAAACATTTAATAAAGAAATTAAAATTATAAATTTTATAAAATTAAAGAACTAAATTTTTTTTATTTAAAAATAAAGGGATAGGTGTCGAAAAAATTAAGGAACAAAAATTGTGATTAATATAACTCATACTTTACAACAAAAAATCAAACATACAAGAACTCCAAGCAATCAAGGGGGCCCCTAAAAATATGCAAAAACTAATGGTGGACTGTCGCGTGGTGATGCAACTCCCCCATCGATATCCACATAAGATGTTAAGCGTAGTGATGGTGTGGCCAGGAAGAATATCCTTTGCCTAGTGAAGACTTCAAATACCTTAAGAATTGATGAATAACATGAAAATGAGGGGTATATAGTTTGTTCATGAATTAGTTGAGCCAACTCATAACAAAGGTGATGTTGAGATGAGAAATAGTGAAGTACATGAGACGACCAATAAAGCACCATACATAAGAAAGTTCATCAACATCAATTTTGAAGTTCGCGGAATAACACATAGAAGGGGGTTGAATATGTATGTGTGAAAGAAGGACATTCTAAGACATTTTTGCAAGAGTAATATATTTCGTCCAAAATTCTTTAGAATACCAGACGGTTAGACAAAATTTGTTTAACACAAGATCACTGCGTCTAAAAGGTTTATCGTCTGTTGAGGAAAATGATTTACAATGATAATTAAAGTTCTTGCATTTTCCTTTTCAAGATAGTTTCATTTAAGGATAAGCAGTATATAAAACTTTTCAGTGTAATATATTTGTTAAACAAAATTTGCATCTTCGTCTGAGAAACGGTTTTAATGAAGAACAGACAGTAGACAAAGTTTTTAACATGATTTGTCAATTAACAAGAGTTTGCGTCTGAAATATAAATAAAACAATGCAATCATTTTTATACTGGTTCGCTCAACTGAGCTACGACCAGTCTCCTTCAACTGAAGGGTTCTACTAGATTTCAAAATGAAGTACATAAGTATTGTTGACCACTTCTGCCCGTTGACTTAGCGCTAATATATTCTTCTCAGCCTCTTCAGGCTAGTAGTGAGTATTATGAACCACCTAGGTTAGAACCACTCCTGGTCCAAGTATTCTCGACCACTCCTGCCCCAACAGATTAAATTACAAGCGATAGCATTCTAAAAACACTTCTGGTTCTCCAAGTATTCTCGACCACCCCTGGCCTGCCAGCTTCACTCACCAGTGCTAGTATTCTTAAACCACTTTTGGTTCTCCAAGTATTCTCGACCACTCTTGGTCCGCCAGCTTCACTCACAAGCGCTAGTATTCTTAAACCACTTATAGTTCTCCAAGTATTCTCGACCACTCCTGGCCCGTTGGCTTCACTCTCCAACGCTAGTATTCTCTTATCAGCCACTTCTGCTAGTAGTGAGTATTTTTTGACAAGCCCCTTTAGGCTTTACAAGTATTCTTTCATTAGCTTCTTCAGGCTTTATAATTGATGATTTGGTTTGAGTGTATGGATTACTTTCATAGAGAGGATACATAGGTTTACAACACTCACTAAGGTTTCCTTCCTAAGATACATTTAAAACACCTTAGACTACTGAGATACTAATACAATATTACATCTTACATATGGCTATGAATGCTCATCTCAGGTTTCTCTATCTTGTGGGCTCGATATCACTCTTTTTCTTCTTCTCAAAAAGCCAACCTTTTAAGGTTTGAGTAGTGATATATATATGATCTAGTGGAAATCTGCTCGTTGAAGTGTCCGTTGAAGCAGACATAGTCGTTTTCGACCCGTTTGATCTTGTCATTTAATGCTCAGATTCTTGCATTAAATGTTGCTTCTTGTGATAGACCTTGCGTGAAGTGTTCTTTCTCTTGGTAGCAGCAGTGTCTAAGTTTAGTAGAGACCTAGGAACCTTTTTGTCCTTTTCTGGTCTCATAGCTGTGGAGTTTTGTCCTTGTCTGAGAAAGTAATGTCCTTTTTCTAACACATGCATGCTTCTAGTTCTATGCTTGATTTTCTCCTTTCCTCTTTTCTTCTTATAATTCAGATGACTTCGTGTGTTCTCCTGTGAGTGTGGGTGACATTCAAATTGTCCTTTGAAGCTTAATTCCCTAGGTGATTGCGTGACAATTTTCGTCTGCGTCTGATGGTCTATATGTAGATCAAACTTTGACCTTTGTCTGAGTATTTGTTTTTATCATATTGACTTTTTCTTTCGTTTGGTCAACCTTGTATATGGTCAGAATTTCCATTTCTTCTGGAGTTACTTTAGGGTCATTAACCATCTCCCGTCTGAGTCTTTATGTTTTGCCTTAGATTGTGCTCGATGCGCTGTCGTCTTGTTCTTGTTGAATGTACTGGCTTTTCGTCCGTCGTCTTGTATCATTTGATGCATATGTTTGTCCTTCATTTTTCCTGTACTTAGGTTTTTCTGAAACACTAACACACTTGTTAGAGATAACCATATGCATTATATTTGTTATACTCAAAACCTTCCTGGAAATTGCTTCTTTTGTCTTAACAAGTTTCATTGAGAAAGAGATTAATATCCATTGAAACGTGAAAAGGTTTGGTCGAGATGAACCTAGTGTTAGTCAACAATTCCAAAGTGTATTTTCATTGACATAGGTGTATCCCTTTTGTTGACTTGGCAATGTCAAGGCCAAGGAAATACTTGATATCACCTATGATCTTGAGTTTAAATTGATGTTGAAGTAAGGGTTTTTTGAATCAAAGGTACCACCTAATATAATATTGTCAACATATACAAGTAAGATGAAAAAGGACTTCCCTAAGCCTTTGGTGAACAACTAGTGGTCGCCTGAAGATTTTTGAAACCCAAGTTGGTTGAGGGTTGTAGAAAACTTGTTAAACCACTATCTAGAAGATTGGTGAAGACCATATAAGGACTTGGACAACTTGCACACCATGTTCTTTTGCTCCCCTTTAAGTGGATAACCCAAAGGAACCTACATGTATACATCTTCAACCAAATCACCAATTGAGAAAGACGTTACTTATGTCATGTTGAGTAAAGCTCGTTGTTGTTGAGTTGTAATGGCCAAAAGAACCCGAACTATAGTCAACTTAACCACCAAAGAGAAAGTATTAAGAAAATCAATCTCGACTTGTGTATATTCCATTGCCACCAAATGAGCTTTACGCCTATCTAGGGAACCATCTGTAGTGTATTTGACTTTATATAACTAGTGGCAACCAATAGCTTTCTTACCTAAAGGAAGGGGTTGAAGGGTCTAAGTGTGATTGGCTTCAAGAGTAATCAACTTTTCAGTTATAACATGTCTCTATTTAGGGTATCTCACTACCCAATGATAGAATTGGAGCTCTTATGATTGAAACTTGCATGATGAAGTCTTGGCATGATTGGGATAGTTTTTTATATGATAAGTGGTGTTGGATGGGTAGGTCACATAACATATGTAGTCTTAGAGGTGAGAAAGGGGTCTATGAGGGTGTGTTGATCGTCGTGGTTGAGATGCAATGGTGGGCATCTGTGAAGGTGATATTGTGTTAGCTAGGTTGAGTAATAGAGGCACCTACCTCACATTGTTTCGCATCTTAAGATAGCAAAGAAAACACGTTATTGATAAATGGTAGGGGATCCCAAAAAAGAATCTAGCCATTGATATGATTGAAATCTTCATCAAGTCCTATAAGGAATGTTAGAACATATTCTTGCTGAGGATGATCAACAAAAGGTTGCACTCCACCACAAGTGTAATAATGAACAGGACAATATTCACCCAATTCCTTCCAAAGAGACTCAAATATAGTGAAATATTGACTAGCAAATAGGGATCCTTGAGTTTAATCAAGAATATTCTTCTTCAATAGGAAAACTTAGGGACCATTATTTTGTTGAAAGTGTTCTTGACATCTTTCCAAATATCTGCAAAAGTTGTCAAATAGATGACACTAGCTATGATTTCTTTGGAAATTCAGTTAAGAGGCCAAGATCAACAACATTGTTGTTTCTCACCCAATATTGATACATATAAGATTTTTTCTTTTATTTGGAATGGAAATAAATCCTTCAATGAACCCAAGTTTGTTCTTGGAGTTAAGAGCCATGCACATGGCACGTCACCATGAACTGCAATTTCCTCCATCAACGATTGAGAAACAAGAATCTAGCCAGGATTGTTCATAGGATGCAAAAAAATTAGAATCATCCATGGAGGATGTTGGAAAAAAAAGACAAAAGCAACAATAGAAAAAATGATCTTGTATAGTAATGCAGAAGAACAAGATTCAAACTAATACCATATTGAGTTGAAAAAAAAAGACATAATGTTTGTCGTGAAATTCGTTTATGGATTCTTTTTGTTCGAACTAGTAGAGTTTTCAATTTAGGTAAGTGACAAATAGGAATTCTTTGTATTATTACAACGTTAAGACATTGCGCGAAATTATAATAAAATAGGCTTTAGATAATACATATTCTTAGTATGCATTGAATTTCCAAGAATGAGCCTTACACACATAAAAGATAGATGACCATAATGAAATAAACATGTAAAACTAGTCGATGTCCAATTTTATGTGAATTAACATGTAAAGATTTTCAAGTGCTCATCGATAGTTATCACAAAATAAGTTCCATGCATATAAACATTCAGGTGAATTGAATGAACAACATATATGTTGATAATGGAAATCATAATTTGTTTGCTTCAAATAATTGCTAGATTACAATACATAATGATTATGAGAAATAAAGGAACTACAAAATTACGTTACACTAAACTAAGATAGAACTATCCTAAGAAAAGAAAAATAAAAAGGGTGGCCAAGAAATCATAGTCAGCAATCTCGTGCACGAGAGCCATGAACGTAGACAGTAGATGCATGTAAGCGTGTAAGTATTGAATTTTTGACCTCTACAAATGAGCCTGCCTTGTTTATTTATAGAAGATAAGGAAGACTGGTTATTTTTCATTAGTTCGACGTGGGACATATAACCACTTCATACTATGCGACGTGGGTAACCCCTCTCAACCGTTATTAACTTCTCACAATTGCTTACTATATTTTCGATTATCGAATAATTCCTTCGAGACTCTTAGATTTAACTTCGCGAAACAGTTATTATGCACAAGTCCCCTATGATATATAACTATTTTGGCATTTACGCAATGTAAGGAACTTGCTTGACCGCTTGTAATTACTCTTTTTCGATTGTCAAATGATGTCTCGAGAATACTTTGAACACTTCAAAAAATTTCACATTTTTACCCCCAACACATAAATAAAAGATATTTTGTGCTGCTCATTGAGAATGAAAAAGTCAAAACTAGATTTATCAAAGGTTATTACAAGTATATATAGGTCTAGTTAACAATAACTAACTTTTCTATCCGATTGTGAACCAATGTAATAACTAAAATAATAGCTTTCACAAAAATGAATCTAATGAAACAAACTTTACACCTTTAATTAATAAAAAAAATTAAAATTACATCTTAAAATTCAAATACTTATTGTTTTAAAAAGATAAAATCAACTCAATTGAGAATTAAAGGATGAATATAAATCATTTAACAATGAAAAGGATCGGAATGAAATTTTCTAATAAAAAATAAAAAATAAAAAAAATTGAAAGAAAGAAATGAATAAGGGTAGTACGGGAAATATATAATATCACATCGAACCTTCAACAAATAACAATCATCATCCTCTCCCCTCAACGGATAAAGAGAGAGAATAGCGTCTTCACTCTCTCTCACACACACAGAGAGAGAAAATGGCAGCATCAGTTTCGTGCTCATGGCTAACCCTTCCCTCCCAAATGAGAAACCTTTCCCTAACTTCCTCTTCTTCTTCTTCTCCTTCCATCTCCAATTCCGCTTCTCTCAGTTTCTCCCGAAACCTCTCTCTCCCTCTCTTCTCACAAGGTACCACACCACCCCATTTCTCTTTTCCCCCATTTTTCCATCGCAAAATGCGAAAGGTTTGGTTTTGGTGCGGTTTTGAATTGTGGGTCTGTTTGGTTTCAGGTAACTGCTTGTCGCTGAGCGCAGTGCAGAGACGCGCTTCTGTTGTTTGCGAGGCTGCGCCGAAGAAGAAGGTGGACTCGGCGGTGAAGAGAGCTCGTCAAGCCGAGAAACGCCGCGTTTACAACAAAGCTCGCAAATCGGAGATTAAGACGCGCACCAAGAAGGTGCTTTTCTACTGTGCTAGTGGAACCGTTTAATTTTGGATTGTGTTTTAATTGGTTGGTTTTGAATTGGCTAGAGAATCTGTTTGGATACAAGCTTGTAAGTGCTTTTAAGAGCTTCTCTAGTGGAATTAGCTCTTTATTTTCTGTAGAGAAACTTTCAAAAGTAGTTCCACCTTGTATTCAAACAGAGCCAGAGTAGAATTGGGAATGAAATAGACTAGCTTATAAATGCTTTTAAGAGCTTGGAATTAACTCTTTATTTTCAGTAGACTAGATTTGTTTTCAGAAGTACTTCTATATTAGATCCAAACAAGCCCAGAGTAGAATTGGGAATGAAAAAGAACCTAGGCGAGGTTGTTTCATTTTGTTGGTACAAAAGTATGAATGAGAGTTCCACATTGGATAGAATTGTTGAGTAGCATGTAAGTCAGAAAGATGGTTTTAGGTTGAAACCACTTTTTGAGCATCACGTGTTGTGGATGACCAATTGTATACCTTGTTTTCATCTTGAGAACGTGAGTTGGAAGTGAAAATTATCGTCTAGGCCCCAAACCTGGGAGATTCTATTGTCACTCTTCTTTAATTAAGTTTCATGAAATTTTACTAAATTGGTAGTTTGATTAATGAGTTGTATGTGTTTTTCTGTGAAGTAATGTTAGTTGCATGTAATGATGCCCTAAACGCTTTACTAATAATGCTCCTAGTTTGTGTTAGTGCGACAGTATTCTATGTCACGTACTAGTGTAATACAACTAATACAATCTCAGTCCACTCTAACATAATAAGAGCTTATTTAGATACAAGCTAGAAGTGTTTTTGAGAGTTTTTCTACTGAAAATGAAGAGTATTTTTAGTAGGGAAACTTTCGAAAACGATTCTACGCTTGTATCCAAATAGGCTTTAAAACACTCCAAAAACTATCAATCAACCTGACATGGTAAAAGATGTTGTAACTGCAAGTGCTTATATTGAGTACTTTCAAACACCAAGATTTATGTTTACTTAACATTGTGAACCATAGCTATGGGTATGTTAATGCACCAAATGCTTCTCATCTTGCTCAGGTTATAAAATACTCTCAAAATACGCCTCCTGATTCTTGTTGAAGCTCGTGTTAATACCTCTCCTCTGTACAACCATCTCAACTTCTAGCTTTTACATTTGCTTGGAGAGGAAATCTTTTGATCAATCTTCTAATCAATGGTGTGCAGGTTTTGGAAGCTCTGGAAGTGCTCAAGAAGAAAACAGATGCGCAAGCAGAGGAAATCCTCCCAATTGAGAAGTTGATTGGAGAGGCATACTCAGTAATTGACAAAGCTGTGAGAGTTGGCACACTGCACCGGAACACCGGAGCAAATCGCAAGGCTCGCCTTGCCCGAAGAAAGAAGGCAGTGGAGATCCATCATGGCTGGTATAGCCCAGTTCCTGAAGTAAGTGTTTGAAACAATCCTCTTGCTGGTTTACATGGAGTAAAATGAGGTATGCCAGTGAAGACTCTGCAGATTTTTTTCACTCTGTTAAAGCATTGTATTTAGTCTTCTTTGGTGTTGGTTCAAATTGGTTTACAGTTCCATACTTCATGTGTACCATCATCATGTAGAGCCATTGATTTTAACAGCATCTTCGTGATTAGCCTTTATTGTACTTTTTCCATGTTGTATAATGTAATGTCTCCTTAAACTTAATGATACTTCCACTGTGGTGAAAACTTAATTGTTATTGTAAAAACCTTCTCATGATAGCAGGTGAATGTGATTGTCACCACTTAATGTTTGCAGCTTTTTAGGAAGAGACTTTGCCGTATTAGATTATTCAGGTATAGCACCTTAATAAGACCACTAGAAGAAAATTGATACATGCAAATTGCAATAGCTACACAAGTTTTTCTCTTAAAATAACGTAGAAGAGTAATGATATTTAAACAAGCTTTCATTTACCATTTTTCCCGTATTAGTATATACGTCATTGGATACACTATCTTGGTTCCATTGGTAGTGTTTGTTGACACATTGATTCTGTTTGGATAAATTTTTTTGGAAGAGCTTTTAAGAAAAAAAATAAAAATAAAAACTGAAATATATTTTTTTTTCTTCTATTTAGCTCATGTATTTGTTAAAAAATATTTTTTTTAAGAAATTATGAGTTTTTATAAATTAGTAAATCCATAAGTTAATTTTTTTATTTATAGACAAGTTTACATATTTTATTTTTATAAATATTTTAAAAAAAGTTTATCCAAAGATACTCATAAAACGAAATGAAATGAATAATTCGTTTAAAGTATATCATTTTGTTATCCTAATATCTCATTTTGTTCAATATTTTAAATATATTAAACAACTCATTTTATTGTTTGTTTCATTGTAGCTTAAATAATAAATTTATCGTTGTAGCTTTCACAATGGTCTGAATTCTGCAACTACCTAGTTTGTGGAAGTCAATTTTTTTTTTTCCACCTCAGGATTTTGGCTTTTGTTTATCAAGTGGCATTTCATCATGTATCAAAATTGGAAATAAACTAACTTCCTAGGAAAGGATCCAAACAGAACAAAGCAAAGATCTATGGAAGACGTACAAGGATGTTTAAGGTTCACCAAAGAATGCTACTGAGTTATTTATTTATTTATTTATTTATAATTTTTGGTCAAGATTGTGTTAACAATAAACAAAAAAGCAAATGGACCTTTGGTAATTGGACCTCTTTAATATCCATCGGGCTTTTCAAAACTAACAATATCAAGTTTTGCGTATTGTTGTCTTATTCTTTCGTTTTACAATTTTCATTATACTACCTCCCTCATAGGATCTTTTCAACTAAATTACATTTAAAAAAAATAATAATTATTTTAGTTAAGAATATTAAATTTATTAATAATTTAAACTATTTTTTTTTAAATTACCCTTAAGATCTTTTAATTAATCTTGCCTTTTTCTACTTAATCATTTATCATCTAATTAATTATTTTTTTAAGAGGGATATTTATGTGTTTATTTATCTTCTCAAATCTTAATAAAAGTGTTTTTATCTTATTAATTTCAAGTATTTATCTTTTATGTAAAAAAATTGTTAATTATATAAGAATATTTAGAGAATATATAATTAATGTAATTAACAATTAGAAGAGTCTTATTAAAAAAATAAGAAAAAAGTGAAAAATATCTTATATAGCAACAAAAGTAGTACTTGAAATTTGTATGTATCTCTTGTTAGTAGTATTGTTAATTGGTAAGAGCAAAGTTGAGGCTAACTTGAAGTAATTTAGTGTGAAGGAGAAATCAAGGTGGCTTTTAGCATAGGAAAGGTGACATAAGTGGTGACGGAGATGAGTTGACAGAGATCAATTATGCTAACCAAAGAAGACAAAGAGATTTGATTTTCACACCCTTTTTTCATCTTCTCACCCTAGATTTTTTTAATTAAAATTCTTATTTTATCTCTCCCTTCCGTTCTTTTTTCTTTTTCTACTCACCTCCATTTGTCATTCTCTCGCACCTCACCATATCACTCTTGCCTTTCTTCTTCTCTCAGCTGTCTTATTGTGTCCATTACAATGTTTTCGGAATTGAGTCGGTGATCAATTTTCTATGAATTAGTATATTATTAAATATATAATTTATATTAATTATATATTATAAAAAAGTATATTTGTCTCATATATATATATATATATATGGAGAGATCCATTTATTTTAGGAGTAAATATACTTAAACTTATTCCGTTCAATAACTTGTGTTTTACACAGTGTTTTAAAACCCGGACCGACCCGGCCGGTCGGACCGGTTGGACCGGGAACCGGTGGTCTAGCCGGTTCGAATCTGAAGTTGGATCGGTTATGCAGTCGACCCGTTTCAAACCGGATTGAACCGGTCAATTTTTCGGTTTAACTGGTGAACCGGTGGGTCAAACCGGTTCAACCACTTTTTTTCTTATTTTTTTTTAAATTTTTTTAAGGGATCATAAATCACAAAAATAATAATGAAAATTGAATCTCTTAATGAAAAGCAAGGAGTCTTATTAAATATAACAATGACTACTTGTTCTAATATATTTGTTTGTAATATATACAACTTAAATAACTTTTATAGTATATTATTAATTTTAAATTATATATTTAATAATGCAATATCTATGTAAATATTACATATATTATTTTGTGATATTAATTGCAAGCATATTATATATGTACATATTATTTATATTTTTAATTTGTATTAATATACCGTTTAACATGTAATTTTTTTATGTATTTTTTTACAAAATAAAAATAAAAATAATTTTAAATAAGATAGAAAAATTGAAATTTAAAATAAGATATGAATTTATTAAAATTTATAAGTATAAAATATATTTAATATAAATATTTTTTAATAAAAATCGAGTCATGCAGTTCAACTAGTGACTCACCGGTTCAACCTTTGACCCACTAACCCAGTACCTTAACCGGTTCGATGACCGGTCCGGTTTTTAAAACTATGGTTTTACATCATATTTTAATGATCTAATCGTTCAATTTAAAATTCTTAATGTATAAATTGATCTGCAAATTTTTAAAAAATTTAAAAATTATTTGATACTTTTTTCATTAATTCAAATTAATGTATAAAATAATTTTATAATTATTCATTAGTTTAAATTAATGAAATAAAGTATCAAATAATTTTTAAATTTTTTAAAAATTTACAAATTTAATCTATATATTAAGAACTTTAAATTGAATAGTTAAATCATTAAAATTTGATGTAAAATATAAGTTATTGAATGAAATAAGTTTAGATAGATTTATTTTTGGAGCAAATGAATCCCTTATATATATATATATATATTACATATATAGTATATATATTTAATGTGCTGCAAATATATCCAAACTTTGGCTTGGAGAAGTGGTACAAGCATTTTTTTAATGCTTCTTTTTCACTTCTTCTCTTCGCATATTGTCTTCTCCATCATGCTTTGGTACGTGAGTATTATTTTTCACACTTTAATTTCCTCTCTTTTTTTTCTCCTATCGCCAAGCAGATAAAACATGTTTTCATTATGTATCCCTTGTGTTATTCTTTTAATACAAAACAAAAACTTGGTCTTATTTTGTTATTTTCAAATACAAAATAAATATATTTCCCATTTATATTGAAAAAATAACAGAATGAAAACAAGTTTCCATTTTGTATTAAAAAATTTGGTTTTTTTTTTCTGAATAATTTATTAGTTTTAATATTTATAGGGTTTCAATTATGAACCTAAGTTGGAGTACACATTTTTTTATTTTATTAATTGAGCATGTCAAATAGTTCAGGAAATTCAATAGAAGCAAAGCGAGAAGCATTTTATAGAGGTTGGGAGTGAATCCCCACCTTTGTGAATTGATTATAGTGAATTATTTATTGGTAAATTAATTTAATATTAAATGGTGAAATTATTTTTTTTAGTGAAAGGTTTTACACTAAAAATTTATAACTTGCATTTGACATTAATGACTAAAAATGTGATTTTTTATATTTTTTTAATAAATTTCAACTAATAAGAGTGTGTTTAAAAGAGTGTGACAAAAAATTGTGTTGTTAGCATTTATCTAATTATATATTAAACTTTTGTTGAAAATGATAAGTCAACTAGCAAACGACTTTGGTTAATGTGCTTGTTAGAACCAAAAGACTTGAAGCATTCACCCTTATACATTGTTTTAATGATAATTAAACATATTAAAATCATGGGACAAAAATCTTGTTTGAAACAAAACACATGTCAACATCTTTTATGAAAATCATCCAATGGACTACATCTTTATAAACCTTCAACCTACAAAAGTTACTTTTAGATAAAAGGTCCATATGAAACTTTTGTAATAATGAGTTGTATACTTGTAATAAGTGTAAATTTTTTATCTATTAGATGATACTTTTATCTAAAGTAATGTAACTACATAGTACCAAACAAGTGCTATGAGATATATCTCAGTTTTACATAAAATATATTTGGAATATTTATGTATTTATTGATAAGAACATGTCTCACCAACCTTAAAGTTCTCTGATCAAGACATCCTATCATAATTGAGGAAAGTAAGCAAAAAAGAAAAATATTTTAAAAATATGCTTTGTGCCCAGTCAGAAGAGAAAATACATTTTAGACATAAAATTGTCACTTCCAACTATTGTGACAAATTCTCTCTCTTTCCTTTTATGTGTAGATCCATCCATGCATTGAATGCATCCAAGTGTGAAGAAAGTTATCTCCCAACAGATTTCTCACTATCGTCTATATAATAAAGCTTCAAAGAAAAGACAAAAGACAGTGTCAAAACATTAATAGTTTATATTTCCTTTTTAAAAAGCTTATTGTTGGATGATCTAAATCACACTTGTAATACTTGTTTATCTTCAAGTGTCGAATTGTGCTTAAACTATAAGCTCTTTCTTGTGAGTATTCTTTCACTTTCTATGTAAGCAACCTTAGTTAAGAGATTATAGTAAGTAAAGTTTGAAGAGATAGTGAAAAATACTTGGGTTAAGTAACCTTTGGGTTAAGTAAGTGTAACCTGAAGATACAATAAATACTTGTCTATAACAAAGCTTGTTATAGGGGAATACCTTCACGTTGAAGGGATTGGACGTAGATCTTGTTGAAAAGTAAACAAGTATAACTCATGTTAAAAGATTTTTTTTCTTTATCCTTCATCACTTTATGAAAACATTTTTCTAAGTGCTATTTGTAAATTTTATCACACACACACATAAAATTCAACTCCTTTTCTTGTGTGTT